TTAGCCAAAGGCAAACACCTCAAGTCAAGTCCACAAACCATACATAATGGCAAGCAGCTCTAAACAACAGCCACCCCGACTGGCAGGAGAGCTGGGCTTAAATAGGCAGGCCCCCTGTGGTTGGAGAAGCAGGAGGTGAAAAAGCCAACCAGGATGCAGATGGATGTCCACTGGGGAGGACAGGAGGTGAAGAAGCCAATGCAAGACAGGCCACAGCACAGCTGGGTCAGCAATCAACCTGCAATTATACTGCCACCCATACATATGGCCTCAGGCCATATGTATGGGTGGCAGACTGACTGTAAAATATCGACTAAAGAAAAGTGTAGGAAACCTAAACTCAAGAGAAAACAAAAGGTCATAACTAATACCTCAAAATACAAGACCTAAAAGATAAACAAACCAAAAGTGAACAGCCCTAACTCAAAATTAATTATTCGACAATTAACCAAAAACACTGATCCTGACATCAAAAACTAACAGGAAGGGATTTAATTTGAAATTTTTTATTTTTTATTTTTTAAATACTGTCATGAAAAAAAACCTGTTTCTGTCATGACCTAGATTATTATAAAAGGAGACATCAAATTACTTTTGTTCTCTACAGAGTAAATCTGATGCACATGTTGGAAATTTGGCCGGTATCTGCATTGATGCATTTTAAACTTCAGCGAGTTATTCTATTTTTTGCCACTTTCTTCCTTTGCCTTTTAAATGTTTTGTGTCCTCACTCTTCTGTTTGTTCTCCTCTGCCTGTCACAGTTAAAATGAGGAGTCGGTCATCTCTGAAGAAATTTCGGAATCGGATATTTCTGGGCCTCCTGGTCATCTGTACTGTCAGTTTTTTGCTGCACAATTTGAACCAGTATAACTGGTGAGTGACTGAAATACACCTTCAAAATATGAATGTTAACGTGAACGTTCACTTTTTGTTGATGTTTGTTTACATGCATCAATACTTTTTGATTTGGATGTAGTAATGTCTGAACTGTTAACTGGTGCTATCTTTGTATGCACATATCTAACTGTCATAATCTTTAATTTTTCCATGTTTATGCTTTTCTGTATTGTAGTATATTTTTCTTTTTTTTTCTTTTTTGTGTTTAATTTGTATATTTTCTATGTCTTCAGTTTGTTTTTTTCTTGTGCCTCCTTGTGTTTTCTAACCACTTTCAGTTTGTTTCAATCGAAAGCCTTCTTGCCTTAGTTCTGCTCCACCCACTCGCACCTGTTCCCTGTTGTCATTAACAAAGATGTCAAGATGTCTCCTGTTTTCATATTAGCTCAAGTTCTTTGTGTTTCCCGTCTTCACCGTACCTGCAGTCTGGCGTTGTGCTTCATGCATGTCTAGTTGTCCTCCCTGTCTCTTGTAGCTGCATGATGTTTTTTTTTTTTGAAGCCCAACCAACTGTTTGTTTCGTCAGTACAAAGTAGTGTTTATAGAAGTTTTTTTTTTTTT